GTGTGTGTGTGTGTGTGTGTGGCAGCTGAATTGATCTGATTCTTTGGTGGACTGTCCACTTTGATCACCAGGGGCAACCAGCAGTATGATCACTTGTCACTGTAAAAGGTGTGCAGCACGAGGGGAGAGACAAAGGGAGAATGAGGGAGGGAGGGAGAAGAGGAGGAGGAAATGAAGGTGAGCAGAAAATTAGATTCTTGTAAAGAGGAGTGAGAAAAACACCAAGCGCTAGCTCCACAGGAGAGGAATCGCCAACCCGTTTTTCCACATGTGTACCACTGTGATGGTGGGCTGGTGTTTTTAATACCAGTCCCCCTTGTGGCCGACGGGCTGCTTGTCAAATGTGCTCCGGTCTGAAGTGCTCGAGGGCTTTCTGCACGCCAGAACACTATTGATGCGACAGAGAGCTCATTCACAACAGCTGCTTTCCAATTGCGCTCCAATGAGTAGAGTAGAGGACACTTGCAGCACAAATGCACAAACCAAAGTACACACAGATGAAACTATGAATGAATTAAAACTTCAGTAAAGAGAAGGAGGCCAAGTTGTGATGAAGCTGTAGTCTGCTGGTCAACTGTATTCAAAGCAACCAAAATAGTTTTTTGAAGGAGGCAGGTTTGTAAGATGGAGAGATGGAAATTGATTCCTTTAACAATCAACATTCAATCAACACTTCAGATTGTTCATATATCAGATTCTTACTTATGAAATTAATTGCTCCTGTCAGTTTTCTTTTGGATAATAGCTGTAACAACAATATTTTGAATAAAGCACAAAACGCACTAGATTAACCACACTCAGGACGCTACAGCTGCAGAAAGAAAATGGAAACAAGGGTCTTGGTTGTCATTTTCAAAGTCCAGCTCCTTATTTAAATAAGGGTGTGTTGTCTTTAACTGAGGTGTGTTCAACCACATTTTTGTCTTGAGGTGGTGGAAAGCCATTGATCAATGAAAACCTATTCTGAAGTCAGTGGTGCAGTGTTTCACAGAAAAATCATTATCACAACAGTAATATGTACCAACACACATACTCACATACTCTGCTTACACAAACAGATGGTGTGCTTGTGTGTTCTTTCTGACTGATCTGCCATCATAATAACACTCCGTCAAGGTGCAAGCACATCTGGTTTTTACTGGGAAAGGGAGATGGCACTCCATTTGGTTTATTGCATGTTTCACCCAAAACACACCCATGATGAAAAGGAGTCTTGTCTTCAACTCTTTCCACTGTTATTCTCGTCAAAGTCAGGTTCTTAAGACCAGGCAAATTCATTTTTAATTGCTATTGGGATGTGAAAAAGATTTTTAACAAATAAGATTCAAAAACTGAGACGACGTACCAACCCTACCTTTAAGTAAAAAAACTAAAGGAAAACAAGTGTTCTCCTCAGCCAGCTTTATTTTCAGAAAGGTTATTCTAGAGCTATAGAGACCTGGATGTACATTTTGCCTCTGCCTTAAGTTCTAAGCCAGAACAGAACAGAAGACCTTAGCATTTCAAGAAACAATACATACAGTATAAGCTCTCATGAGACTACAAGGTCAGAAATATAGAAAGCAGAAAGGCTATAACAGAGTCCTAAATTGGATTGCGTTTTGCAGTTGAGGGTCTGTGAGCGTCATAAATTTGGATTTGTTTCAGCTGCAGATAGGCTGATTGTTGAACAGGAAGAGATAAAGAGAGAGAACAAGGAGAGGAAGGGAGTAAGAAGAGATAAGGAGAGAGAGATGTTTACTCTAATGTGACATCAGTGAAGCTGAAGACAGATCGACACATGACTCAATGCTCGGTTCAGGCAGATTAACTCGCAATAGGTTCATCTTCATTCATCACCCTGCTTGGCTTCCTGACGCACACACGTGCACAAACATACACACGCACGCACTCCTACAGGAACTGAGATACTTCACCGAATTTCAATTTCCAATTATTTGGCAGAATAATGATTCCTAGATTGTTATCAAGTTTTATGATGCGCAAAGCAAAAATTCTACATTACTTTCAATCTTAGCTGTCGTTCTAGGTGAATAAATAGAAAATTGTTAATGTTCTTCACTTGGCTGATCCAATCACGTTAACAATGCAATTCCATTATCAATTTTCTGCATATTAGGATCAGCAGATACAAACTGCACCTGCTGTAAATGGGATCTGAATGGTAAAATGACTGAATTTGAACCGTTTTAAATCGTGAGTTACACTGACACTGTTATTACTTTTGTTTTTACCAGCAGCACAGATGAAAATAACCGTTAACATTCTCTAAAGAGAATTTCTATTCAGTTTGTTTGAGGTATAACTGACCAGCTGCAAAACAACGGTTCAACAAAATAAAACTGATGCTTTTCCACGACATTTTGTAATTGATGTCGTTGCCTTTTTTGTACATCAATTCAGTTTATAATAACAGTAAAACTTTATTTAGCACATTTCAAAAAACAGACTACAAGTTTAAACAAGTTAATGCAGTTTAAACCCCTTAAAAGTATATTTAATTAAATGACAATCAAACAATATAAGTATGTGTAATAACACCTCTGCCTCTCGCACACAAGCTCTGTCCTCTGGATTGGTAATGGTGTTAATGCATCCTCAATGAATATCGTAATAAGACATGGCATTATGTGAAAGAGCTGAAAGGCACTAAGGTCTGTAACAATTCATGCCAGGTGCCAGTTTAATACAAGGTCTTCGCACAGATGTTGCTAAATCCTGATTGGTGTACAGAAATATGAGATAACCTTTTCCCACTGAGCTCCACCCACTTCAAGCTAGTGAGTAAATGTCAGACAGAAACAAAATACAGAAATCTCATGTGAAATAACCAAAAGATGTTTCTTGTTTATGTAGATTTAATGTGCTTACTGGATATGAAACACATCATGTATTTGGTTAATTAGAGCTGCTTATTGCTGCGGCTAATGAGACATATTTATGAAAGGGTCTTTTTCTTTAAATACCGTACATGCTCCTGTTACACTTTCCTGTAAGTAGTTCCTCCTAGCCACCCTACTGTGGATCATCAAATTCAATTTCTTTCTCAACGTCATGAAAACTTACTCAATGTGTGAAAGTCAGTTAGACACCAGAAGATGAAAATTCCTGTTTTCTAATCAACAAGCTGCTGGAGACTCACGTGACTTTCTGTTGGTGTGTGTTCACAGAGGAGCCTTTTCAGAGGTGGTCCTGGCCCAGGAGAAGCTGACCGGCCGGATGTTTGCGGTGAAGTGCATCCCCAAAAAGGCCCTGAAGGGGAAGGAGAGCAGCATCGAGAATGAGATCGCTGTGCTGAGGAAGTGAGTGCTGTGACACACGCACACAAATGCACATAAGCCTCCTAATTCCTGGTTACCGGGGAAACTGCACTCTCTCGCTTCCACGCATCACGACCCCCCCCCCAGGTCACGATCCACAGCCCACCTACCACACATCCATAAGCATGCACACATCACGACTCAGACTACTGTCTCTCTTTCCAAACAGCTGCACAATATCAACTACAGAATTCCGATATTGTCTTCTTCAATGACGTTTAGAGAAAATGTGAATGGTCCGCTCCATTGAGAGAAAAGGAATGGCTGCACTGAGGGGAAAAGTCTTGTAGCTTGTCAGATTTACTCACCATCTTATTGGAAAAAGAAAAATACTACATGAGGTTAGAGTACACAAAATGGCTCTTCACCACTTGGCAAATAGAATTTTGACACTATTTGTTTCTGAACTGTCAAAGCACTGACGCTTAAGAAATATCTCTCCATGGCTCCTCTTATGGTATTGCTATGGCAACCATTTTGAATGTACTTTTTCACTTACCATTTTAAACACCTAAGGGCATCACACATTGGTTGCTCTGCATAGCGTCATTTGACCAGGGATGCACTGTAAATATAGAAGAAGAAGTCATGGTACAGTAGCTGGAATGTTCCAGTTCAAAGAGCAGAGGTGATGTGTAATTCTTCCTTCTCTGACGCTTGGATGATGAGAGATGGGACAGCAGTATCACTTGATGCAGCAACACACAACAATCATGATGAGGCTGATGTTTAATACCGTACAGAATGCAAAGCAGATAATTGCCTGGGGCCCTGAGCCAAGGGGGGGGCCCCAGGCAACGTCTGCCTTGACCTCATAGTTTCAGCTGCAGTTGTGAGCGTACTTGCACTTGGCATCCAATTCAGTTCTCTCTCTTATTCGAGGACTTATCTCTCACTCGCGGTCACTCATACGGAAATACGCAAATGATGCCGGTCAGAGTTCACCAAAGTTCAACTCCACCAATAGCCGTGCTGCAAATTTGCTGAGCCACAGGAAGCAAATGTTTTATTCGCCGCCACACTCTCACAGATTATAAGTGAGCGGGAGGCAAGGGTTGGTCACAGCTACATTCATGTACCTGTGACCCTGCCCTTATTCTCTGTACCTGTCACTCAAAACCTGTTGCGTTTGAGAGTGACCTTTGTGCACGTGCAGCTGCATCTCTGTTACTGTCATAGATTTTATTCATTCTGATGAGAACCTGTCAACTGTAAAACAGAGAAATTAACTCTATCTCACACACAACACACACACACATTTAAATATTCATTACTCAACCCATCAGTCAAATATTTTGCACAGTGAACAGCCACCAGGGGTCATATCACTATTATTTGTATGGCATTTATATGTGCCAGCTGTCGACCACCAGTGCTCCTGTGATGGCTGGAAGCCATAGAAACGTCACCTGCAGGTGAGCAGATTTTAATTGGAATGAATGAGCTACTGCGAGGGGAACAAAGTTCACCTGATACGACCACAACTTTCAAAGGAAAATTAAACTTCTATGACTCTTTGTCTCCCTCTAACAAGACAGTATTTATACAGTTACACAGAAATACGGTTGGTTTCTACTTGCTGCAACAATACAGATGTGTTACGCTATTAAGGCTGCAGTGTGTAATATTAGAGAAAATGAGAATTGCCTCTAATAATGAGGGAGAGAGACTAATGAGTGTCATTTTTGTGAACAAATGAGAGTACCACCAGGCAGACTGGCAGTCCCAATCAAACCGCGCAGTGTGAGACACCAGGTCCTGTTGAATCACCAGAGAAATTGTGCCTCTCAGAATTTATGTGGGGAACTTATTCTACATTTAGCCTGAGCCTCATTCCCATGAATATATAATTCTGTGTGCACATTAAAGGCTCAATTGTAAAGAATTTTCAGTTTTTGTCAATTTATCAACTTGTTTTTTTCCATCCATCCATTAACTTCACCACTTGTTCTTTTGAGGGTCACAGAAGGAGCTAGAGCCAATCCCAGCAGACACTGGGGCAGAAGCAGAGTACACCGTGCACATGTGGCCAGTGCATCAAAGGGCAAACATACAGAGACAAACAACCATTCATGTTCACTATGGTGAATTTAGAGTACCCGAAGAAAACCCACTCAAACATGCAAATTCCCCACCTGAAGACCTTCCTGCCAACTACAGCAACACATGAAATCACCATTCATTGTAGCCCCCAGCTTTGTTGCACAGTAACAAAGGACACATGCAGAAAAAAATCCATGAATGATGAGTACTGACTACAGTAACTGCAGCACAAAGCCCGCAATGTTTCAGAGGGTTTTTCTGAATGCACCCTGACTCTACTCTGCCATTACACTCAGGCTGTTTGCTGCCAGCCTGTCATTATCTCAGGCAGGGCTTAAATGCACACACATTATCTTTCAACTGCACGCCTATGTGTGTGCGTGTGTGTGTATGAGTCACGTCTCAGCTCAGTGGTTCATCGCCTGCCTCCCGTCGCAGAGATCATACGCTCCATAATGAGTGTTAGATGCTCACCTGTGCACCTGCTGTGCGTGCCTGTGTGAGAGAGACAGACCAGGGGGAATTACCTCTGTTCACAATGTAAGAGATTATTAACCCACAGAGAAAATCAATCAACATATGCGATGTGATAACAAATACACACACCTACACAAGCACACACACAGAAGGTGGAAACACCCTCATCACAGCGCTGTAACCATGGAGAGATCTGGCGAGAATTGATAAAACTGAGGAGAAATTAAAATGAAATACTTTGCTGTTAGAATACCTGAAAATTTGTGCAAGGAACAAATGAGAAATATGTTCTGAGTGTTAAAGCTTCTCGTCTTCATCCTGTGTGAACAAGGCTTAAACTGCTCTGTAGCTGTTTTGGGGTATGAACCGTGTGGACGTTGCCTTTCACCCATGAAGAATGCAGCAGGAGAATTTCTGGATCGCACACATTCACAAAAACAGGAAAATGTTCCTAACATTCAGTTTCACGTCCGTCATGTTTTAGAAAATGTCATAAACACCTTCACTTGCTCGCTGGGACATTTTCCTGCTGTATTCTCACATGTGCTCAGTCAATAACCGGAGCAACTGACTCAGACTTTTCCATTGAGGAACTGAAGAGAGGTTTTTATCCGTGGAACAAACCTTTTTAAATGTAAAGTGCCTTGAGATAATGTTTATTATGATTTGGCATTATACAAATAAAACTGAATAACCTTGTCTTCATCAAATCATCAGATCGTAGGCTCTAGAACAGGCACTAAATGGACATTGAGGCTGTCTTGTCGAGACTAGATTATGAGTTCACACTGGGTAAACCACTGCCAAAGCATTATTCTGGATTATCTGTTTGTGTTGTACAAAAACAATCATTAGGATTAAGAGTCATTGTGTGTGTGACTAAAAACATGCTGCAGCTTGATAATCGTTACTAATGGTTTGTGCTTTACAGGATCAAGCACGAGAACATTGTGGCTCTGGAGGACATCTATGAGAGTCCCGACCACCTCTACCTGATCATGCAGCTGTGAGTGGAAGTTTTCTTTTTTCTTCTTTGCCCTCCATACTGAAACTTTGCATTCCACACACAAAGTTCAGTTCACTTGTTTGAAGCAGTACCACTCAGCCTTTGAAATCAGCCTTTGCATAATCTCTTCTGTGGGTCTAGAGGAAACTTTTGTTCAGGGTTAAAAGCTGGAGACTAATTTCATTTTCATTTTGATTCTATTCCCCCTCTATTTGAAACAGGAAATGAGTGGAGGGGATGTTAAGTTGTTGTAAATGAACTAGAGTATCCCACATATCATTTAGGTTAGGGACAATATTTAGTTTTAAAAAATTTACAATATTTGAACAATTATCGACGAATAAATGTCAGTCAATATTTTCTTAATCTATTCCTGACATATAAAAGTCAGAACGATCCTTCTTACATGAGAAATAGTCTCATGCTCAGGACTTTGTTAAAATATAATGACTTACTCATAGAACATCATAAAAAAATTCCTCACACCTCATCTTTGTCTTTCTCACACTTTTAATCCTATTCTGCTGCCCACCCATCAATGCATGAACACACATGCACAGACACATTGTACACTTCAATGACTGCGCTGAGCTGACAACACACCACACTCTAACGCACACACATGCATACAAAAGCCCACCTGTCCTCCCCCACACATACAAAATGCACCGCGCGGCTCCAAGCCCTCTTTTATTTTACAAACATCTCTGCTTTGATGGTCGGCGGTAGAGTGAAACAGGATCGCCTGTGGTTCACCCATGGGTGCCCCACTAACCTCCTCTGCAAGGTTAGTGCTGCTTACATAAGCGCAGAAGTTGGTCTGGGAGTTTGGCATTGGTACTGGAAACATTGCAGTCAAGTTCAGTCGGAAGTCATGGCTGTGGATTACACAACAGTGGCTATGTTTACAAACTGGTGTCAGCAGATTATCTCTTCACCTACCGCATGTGTTTGAGTCCTTCAATTTCCACGCCCACTCTGCTCAAAACACAGGAAACTACAGTACTGCAGACCCAAACTTCATTACTTTTAACACAGGGACTGATAGTTAGTACACTATAAGAGTATTTTACTTACTTTTAAATGCCATTAAACAACTAATCCACAAAACAATCAATGTGCAGCTTTGTATGTTTCTATCTTATATTCACGTGATTTTTTTCAAACTGTTGTGTTGCTTTTGGAAATTCAACAATGATGAAACACCACACAGCAAGACTAGTTAATGAATGATAATGTTTTCATGAACTAACTGTAGCGTTAGACAGAATCACATGATATCAGTCAGTATATATCTAACATCAATGCAGTATATGTGTAAAAGTGACTCAGGAATAACTAGATTAGTCCCCAGGTTTTTAAATTATACTTTTTCATCTTATTTATTAAAGTGTATTTTGTTTATGGTCTGCTTCTGGATTTCATGAAGGAGGTGGATTTACAAATCAGTTTAAACTATAGACTGTATATAAAGATGGATGACATGTTTCCACTTCCTCCCACTATCCAGAAATGAAGCTTAAATATCCTGGATCAAGACGCTTTTGCTTCACCTTTTGGGTACAGTCATGTTGTCCTTCTTTATATACAGTCAAAATTAAGCTTTGTTCAGTAGTTAAACAAACAATGCATGGACACTAATTGTGTTAAAAATCCAACAGAAGCATCAGCAGCACAGAGGACACATGAAAATCTGTAATCTACTGTCGCTGCTGCAGCTTGTTGTGCTGTGGTCGTAGTGGCATTCACCTTGAAGTGAAATAGGCTGATGAGGTAGACGTGTTTGCTAAATAGGTTACTGTGACATAGTTATGTCAGACCTCATCTGATTATGGACGTTTGAACTGACACCGCTGATATTTAATGGTATTTATGTACAGCACCAGGCCTAGTGGTACAAGCAGGAATGACATTTTAAAATGGCTGAGAAAAAAGAATATTAAATGTGTACTTTGACTTTTTACTTCGGTCCATCTCCCATCCGTAACATGAAAGAGGCAGGGAATTATAAAATATACTGCAGCCAGCCATTGGGTCTTCGTGCTGGACGTGCATGTTTTAAAAAAGTCTACCATAGTAACTTAAGAGCTAATCATCTAATTGTGTGATATTCATATCTTATCTTATCATATCTTACCTCAAATGAGAGAGCTGTCATTAACCAAAAACTACAGAAAGCAGATTATATCTAAAATGCTTTTATGCAAAAGTTAATACTTTAACAGTAGCGTAAGAAGCACAGAGTCATAAAGTGAGTGAAATGACTCAGAAAGGTCAGTTACATAGAGTTATATATGTAAAGTTAGCCAACATTAAAATTTCCTGACATATGCTACTGGTTGTGTCGGCAAAATAAAATGTGTTGAATTCAGAAAAGGTGGGGTTAATTTTTGAGTAATTCAACTTTTCAGTTTTAAGAGAAACAATTGAATATTTCTAATAGCCTAGTAACTTAGCTTTTCATTGTGAGTTAAAGAGCTGGCATAATGATAATATATGACATGAATGATCACTTCCCAGTCACAACAAGCAGAGTAATCATAACTGTGCACTTTTTTCAGATAGAAAAAATTGTAAATTGAGAACTTCCCTGCTGAGAAGTGTGTTACATTACATTACGCAGTTAATGTCAAACGTTAGCGCCACATCACTCAACAGCTCCAGGTGAAGGTTTCAGATCACGACTGAAACGTAAAAGTGATTGCTACAAAAGTTACAGTTGTAATTACATTGTAACTTTCTCGAGAAACAGGATCTCAGCACTAAATGGTACCTTGGCTGAAGTACTGCTCTCACTGCTGCAGTAAATGTGTCTGTGGGTAGATTTTAGTGCCAATACTCTATGCACATTTTTTACACAGATTTTCAGAGTCTGTAAATCTTCATCCTGAGAGGTTTTGGCTGCTCAATCTGTTGTTTTGCTTTGGGTCTCTGACAGTCTTTCTTAATTTAATGTAACATAACTTTCTTTGAGAAGTAATGAGGTCGAGCACTTTTACAAAAAGTGGCAGAGACACCTCACCTCTGCTCTCTCCACCTCCCCCTCCCTCTATCCATTTCACACTACCACCCCCCACATAGTGCATACGCTCCACTCACACCTTACTTCCATCGCTATTACCTCTTGCCTTTTTTTTTTTGCTCACTTGAATTTGCCTTTTCCTCCATTGGCACCATCTGCTCATTGAATCTGGGTTTGTTGCCATAGTTACTGGGTCAAAGGTTACATCTGAGATGTAAACAACCTTGAGAATGCAAAAGGAAGTATTGTGAGCGTTACACATTTGATGTGATGAAATCTTGAAATGGGAAGTAGCCGCGTCTCATTTCACTGGGAAGATTCAGCTTGTCTTTATCATAGACTATATACTCTATATATATATAGATGCAGGACAGCTTCCTAACACTGATGTCTAATCATCTTGATCGCCCTCTGGTGGCTGGTGCAGTACAGGTCACTAGTCCACCTAGTAAAAGGTCTAAATACACTTTAAAATATTGTTTTTCAAAAAATAAGTTAAATCAAGCAGTAACCCAGAATTATGGGAAATTGCTAATCTAAAAGGATCATAAAGTTAAATTCTTGCTTTGTTGTGTTTCTAATGTTTTTTGAAATTTATTTTTCTAGGGTTGTTTTCAGCTACTTCATATTAAGCTAAGAGATAGAGTCAGAGGGAGAGAATACTGAAATATGTAACACTGTATTTCACTCTCCCTTTTGATCTGACCTGAGAGCTGCAGGCTGTTCTTTTTTAAGCAGGAGCCTCGTAACTGTACGACTGATCTTTTTTATCTTAAATCATTTGTGTCCATCACAACGTTTGCCGCAAAACTGTGTTTTACCCAAGCCCAAATTCAGAAAGTACGACGACTGCTGTAATAAAGAATAATAATTATGTGCATTTATTTAGATGTCACGTTTTTTTGGGGCCAAGGCTTTTTGAAATGTTCCCGTGTAATTGCAGAGTGGTAGATCGATGCCGTCTGACAGTGTTTCCTTCACTGCCATTCATCACAGCTTGTCTTACGTAACCTCAACCGCAGGGAGGCAATCAGTCCGTGCAGCTATGAAAATCAATGCAACCAAGTGCAACTCTGGCTTTATGTTGACGTTGCTTATGCTGTGAATTGCACATTAGTAAATGATAAAACACTGACAATGGACTATGATAATGCATCATCAAAGATAAGGACACGCCGGTTTCAGTTCTGCTGGGTTGTTAGAAGTTCTCTGTTACAGAACACATTCATAAAGACATGACAGCTTTTTACTTGTTGATCATAATTGTCCTTTGACTGCAGAGGTGGTATCATCATCACTATATTATTATCACTATCATTATTTTACCGCCAAAGTATAATCAATGCAAGACACAGGAGTTTATTGGTAATTTATGGGTAGACAGAGGTGGATTAACTCTTGAGGTTTACACAAGTCTCCAAACACTGCATGTGTTTATACTGTTATTTGATGGATTGTACCATCGTAGAAAATGTAGTTTACAAAATTAAATTCAAAGCAAATTATAACTAAAGGCTGTGTGTCTGTACAAACTGCACGTCTCTCTGCTGGTTGTTCTGTTGCACCTGGTGACCTGCTGCTTGGGGCATGTATGCTAATGTTGTATGTGCCCGAACCCTTCAGGTGGCCCCACTGCTCCACTTTCTAGATCTCTCATTTCATTAAATTAATTATAGCATCAATCTATCCTCAAAGTCTGATTGTTGTAGTCAATGAAAGAGACTCGACCAAAAATTCAAACCTTTATGTTTTTGGCTTAATGTACTTTAAATGTACTATATGTTATTTCAGCCGCTAGGGGTGTTTCAATAAAAACAATAACAGAAGACGTAGTTTGATGATGTTGTGAAGCGTGGGATCATGGGAGTTGTCTTCACCACCATGCAGAAATCAAGTCTTATTCACGTGATGCAACAGACAGCAATGAATAATCGTAATACGATACAAATAGTGAATGGAAAGAAACTGGCTAGCAGTGTGTTTTTCTTTTGTCTAATGCCCCAGAAGTTATAATAGAGACGGACAAAGCCACAGGTAAAGTGGAAATTATGGAATTAAATGCGACCAAAAGTCACCAAGTCAACAAAATATATAACATGTCTTGTCAGACATTTTGATAAAGAATTGTTAAATGTTATATCTTTAATCAGTCAAATGTTATAGGCTCACTTTATATGATTACTTTGCATAACTTTGTTGAAAAGAAAAATCATTGAAGTGTTTCCATGGGTCTTGTGCTATCCTAAGTTTGTTTGATAATTTGATTCATGTCTGGAGGATACAGAGTCTTATTCAGGTCTATATTATCGTGCAAGCTTCTTATTTTCAAGGTAAATGACCAAATCAGATTTTACACTAACATGAAGTTATTGTTTAATTGTTGCCAAGCTGTGTTAATCAGGTTATGTTTAGACAGCTTAGGAGTTTAATACAATTATTATAATTCGAGTGTTTCCACAGTTTTACCATAATCTGATATAAGTGGTAAAGTCAACAAAAAACAAACATGAGGTCAAGTGCATGCGTAGAAACAGTTGGGTTTTCCTCTGGCGACTAATCACCTCAACCCAGTGAACATCATACATCACATACACTCGAAATTCCGGCTTGCTGTCAGTCATGATGCATAACCGTTGCAGAGAGAGCAGCGATACAAGTGCCAGCCTCGACACGGATCAGCTGTTCGAGGAGAGATAGATGGAGATACAGTGAAACTGGAAGAGAGAGACATGAGGCAACATTAACACTTGAGGACACATGGAATTCAATTCAGCAATGACTCTACCACCAGAAACATACTTAAAGAAAGCATCTGAAGATAAATGTTAAATGGTATCAACAGTTTTTGTTAATTTTGTTATGTTGTTATCTAAAATGATTTGGCAAGTTTACTCTGTATACACACAGACTTCTCCAGTTTACAATTCCAAATAGGGTTTGTATGTGTTATACACTTTTTTACAAGATCAGTCATGCCCACTTTTTCAAAACAATGTTATTTAAACCAAAACAGATTTTACCCAAAAGAGACTCATGCTGCTGTAACTATAGAATAGGCTCCCTAACATAACACTCAATGAACAAAAAAACGTAAAACAACTTGCAGCCCTAGAAAAAACATTTTAATACTACATTCATACCACAGTCGAACACTCAAACCTGTGGCCCTCAGGGACACCATGGTTTAGCACATGATCACCGACTGGCTCTGATTACATCAGACACAACTGGTTCACGTTCAATCTCAAAACAATTTGCACCATATTCCTACAGATGAAAAACATGTTTGCAGGTGTTGCTTAATCAGCAGCAACGTGTATATGAACCCAAACACCATCCACACATGGCTCTCCTTGTGTATCCGTGGTAATAAGGATCGGACAGGAAACGCATGTGTAGGTTGTTAGCTGAGATGACAGCCAGAGGTGTCAACAGCTACATGGACACCTGTGAGTGTGAAAGTCTCAACTGTGTTTTCTCTATGTTCACACACTTACACATTTCAATGCAAGTGTTTGTATCGATGATAACAAGGCTGGCAAACCAATTAAAGGAAGAAACTTCAGAATGATATTATCTAGTAGATATTGTCTACTAGTTTTACTTCGCAGCACATTTCCGTCCACAGATATTAGAATTTGGTTTGTGCTGCAGTTCTACATAATGTTGCTGAATTTAGTTTTTTAATTATAATGTATGATACAGATGTATCATCACAGACCGGTGAAGAGTTGCACAACTCATTGTCATAAGCAATTGTCAGCAGTATAGTGTTTATTCTATGTTTATTCATTCTGTTGAAGGCAATGTGTCGTGCATACATTTACACTCAGGATTTGCACACAAGTAAAATGATGAAGGATTAATATTTTATAGTAAAAAGGAAGTGATATCAAACCTGAGACATTGTACAAATTATAAGGTCACTGTGACCTCTGAGCTTCTTACTCTTGGATGTTTTGTTATTATTAATAATTCATATTTTACATTAGATAAATGAATGGAGGTCATTTGATGCCTTTGGCCTCAATTTACAGCTTCTTTGTGCATGTTGGTGTGAGACATTGTGCATTGTATGTGCACTGTAGTGTAAATCATTTTTGTGTATATAATATATTTATATATATTATATACACATACATACATACATACATACATACAAACATACACACACATATGTGTTTTTCTTAATGTCTTTGTGTGTGTGCCCCCTTGGATCTGTGTGTTTGTGTATGTGTGGGTGCTCCTGTCTGATTGCCATGGTCTCCTTACGCAAACACTTACGTAACCATGCAGCCTGGTGGCTGATCTCCCTTTTGCTGGGTGTGCGTGCGTGCGTGCGTGTGTGCGTGTGTGTGTGTGTGTGTGTGCGTGTGTGTTTAGCCCTTTCTTGTCATTTCCAGACATGACTGCCTCTGAAACCAAACGAGCCACTGCCCTCTTTGAAGAGAGAGAGAGGATTAGCAATTAATTCTGATCTCTTTTTTCAGAAACTTCATTAAGGTTTAACTTCCACTGGCTTTAATCTGATCTGTCGCCGTGACGACTCCCCACAGATAGACCAGGCGACTGTTTGTGTGTATGAGTGTGTGTTTGTGTGTGAGCATATTTGCCTTTGTAGGTTTAATGGTGTGTTGTATTTTTATGTTTGGAGCCACTGGTGCACTGGTGTTCTTGTATAAAAAGGCAGTATTAATATAAACTATATATTTTTTTAAAACTACAAGGTAGTTTGATTACTTCTACACATGCTATTATTACTACCCTCCAGCAGGGGGAGCTATGGGCCTGTACAGTAAGTGATGAGCCAGGTCTCATCTGTACAAACTGTATTTACTTTACACCTGAACAAGTTAATTCATGTGGTCTGCAGTCATGAAACCTAAAATCAGCAATTGAAAGAATCTGCCAGAGGGGGAGAAATTGCAGATTAACTTAATGTTTTCTTTGGTCAAATGTGAGTTTTCCTATTCTTTTTTCCTGAAGTGACTGATTTCATCGCCCCTGCTTCATCCAACCAGCTTTACCTCCTTTCAACAACAACTTTAACATTAATAAAGTACGTGTTCAAACAAGAACTTATGTTTTATGCCACTATGGGTGATAATTCCCTTCAGACAAAAGCTGCAAAATTGATTTAAAATTTTGAGAAACTGTCTGAGAAGCTTTCTCAAAAATGGGTTGCTTTAATGGAATTTCATTTCTAAAGCCAAGGAACATGTTTGAGAATAAGAACACAAAGGAAATGGATTTACCCACTGAAAGATTTGGACTTGAGTCTTAAAAATGCTAAATCATAATCTCATCTTTGAAGCTGAAGACAGAGACACAAATACACACACTCGCCAGCCTTTCCTGTCTCTTCTTGCTCTTACTTCTTTACCATCGCTCCTCCCTGAACCTACAATATGCTGCTGCTGCTCTGGAAAATAACATGCCAAAATAATTATTTAAAAAAAATAGAGATTTCAGACTGAATCGAAGGTTAATTTTCAACTTTTTGGCAAGTGTATACCCATTTAGAGAGAAATCCGAGAAGTTTAAAAACCCATTTGATAATTGGTGTGAAGGATGCGAGGAAAGAAAACATTTTGTAGAAGAATCTGTTCTTCAACTTTAATCACATTTTCAAAAATAACATGGAGATTTTACAAGGTATAGTAAACACCGCAGGGAATATTCGTGTGTGTCTGTGTGTGTGGGTGTGTGTGGTAGCACATGGCTCACAGCTTCCACTTTTGGCTGGAAACATCTACAGCTCATAAACGACCAGAAATCTCAGCCCATGACCCCCCCCCCCTCCCATGGCTTGTCGCCAGTTACTGCCATGTGTGTCTGTGTGTGTGAGTGTGCAATGCTAGTGTTGTTTACACACTTCTTCTTATTCTGCAGGGTTTCAGGTGGCGAGCTGTTCGACCGCATCGTGGAAAAAGGTTTCTACACGGAGAAGGATGCGAGCACGCTGATCCGACAAGTCCTGGACGCAGTTCACTACCTGCACAAGATGGGCATCGTGCACCGAGATCTAAAGGTACTGCAACACAAACGCACATACTCTCTCTTCCCTGACCACACATACACACTTTCCTTCTCTCCGCTCCCACATTATAAATACACGCTAGCTCATTCTCACTTGGCAGTCAGTGATTTACTGCAGCAATAAAGGCGGTGGCCTTGACACAAGCAGTGCATCATGGGTCAGCGTGGCGCGTGCCGGCTGTTGGAAGAGAGTTGATTGGTTAGAGCAGTTTTCATAAAGCATCTAAGTGTAAAATGAGGAAGAAAAGAGGTGGCTTGATGCTTTCTTATTAAAAATGTTACTCATATTATAACTGCTCAGATTTTTTTCTTACACAAGATTAATAACAAATTAGATTTAAAACCAATTAAAATCACAGCTATGGAATGAAAACCCCTTTTTGTCTTTCTCTCTCTCTCCAGCCAGAGAACTTGTTGTATTTTAATCCTCAAGATGAGTCAAAGATCATGATTAGCGACTTTGGTCTTTCCAAGATGGAGGGCAGTGGTGACGTCATGTCCACTGCCTGCGGTACTCCAGGATATGTGGGTAAGTTAGTCAGTCTTCCCTCAGCTCTGACAATCTGCTTCCTCTTCCCCCAAAAATCTCAGTGTGGTGTCCTTGAAACCTGTCTCAGTCATTGCTTCTACTTGTGGTTTTCCATTCATGGCAGATGTGCCAGGATTAATGGCAGCAGACGAAACACTCAAACTTAAGTCCTTTTTGAAACACTGGGTTTACGATTTCAGATCCAGGAAGATAATAGTATAGTTTCTGTTTATTCAGTCAGCTGAAATGACGCAAATGACCAAAGTTTAGTAATTTGGCTCCATGAGGTGGTTGAACGTGATGACTGCAGCATCCTTTTGTAAAATATGCAGCAGACTCGTTTTAAAACAAAAAGCTGAGGGCTACAAACATGATATTGTGCTAAAAGCAGCTACAGCTGCACATCACACAAAAAAACATCCTCATCAGTTATTGATTCATTTAGAAGACATGGGAATAAAGCATGGCTCTTTGGTTGCAGTGCAGCTTTTACAAGTTTACAAGGTTTTTTTCATTTTTGCGTCCATCTCGGGTTTGAAACGTCATCAGGCGACCGCTTGCTGACTGTGAATTTTCCTGCTGTATTCTCTCATAGGCTCACTCATGACCGAACAACCCTTGTTCAGCTGCCTAGCTCCCCCCCCCCCACACACACACACACACACAGACCCCTGTTGTATGTGATCTACATGCGAATGGTCATACAACCATTTGTATTTTGCGTGGGTTGTAAGGATGCGTGTCTTTGTATCTGATTGTGCAGTTGCTTGTGTGTTTGAACTTTTTCGATCCTTGCGCCTCCATGTGTGTGTGTGTGTGTGCGTGCGTGTGTGTGTGCTGTTACAAGAGACAGATGTTCAGTGTTGAAGGCACACACACACTTCCATGGTGCAACACAAACGGACTAGTTGCAGCGCACAAACTCTCACATAAACAAATCTGTTGTGCAAACACAAACATGAAATAACTGTTTTAATTCGAACTTTTGAAATTTAGTTTTGTTGCACCAACTGTTCTACACCTAGCTGGGCTAAATTGTGTGGAACAGTTTGAATTGTCACACGTGAGGACATTATCAGCTGCTCACAAACTGCCTGCTGTTCTTTATTTTGGTGTAATAGGACTTTCAGAATTCTGCAGGTGCTAATGACTCAGATGTAGACCTGCAGACACACACTTACAAACACACACACACTCAGAAATCCCATCACCCAGTACTTGACTTTAAATGGTCATATCCTTGCATCAATCACTCTGACGCTCCCCTCTCTCCTCCTTCACTTAACGTCTCTCATCCATTCATTCCCATCATTTCAGCCCATACTCTCGACCCCCACTCTTCCTTAGAGGAGACCAGGGAGGGTCGAGAGGTTTACTGCCCAAGGGCATTTCCACTCCAGACAATATGTGTCTAAATATAACTGAGGTATAAATAACCATGGAATGCACCAAATTAAAACCAGATCTGAGTGTGAGTACGTGCACATGCAATGACAAGCTTTGTTTCACCACACTTAAGAGAAACTCAGTCCCTTAGGCCAGCGTTGTAACTGATGCCAGATCACCACACTTAAACATCCAAGAACATTAATTCCTGGGTAATGGTGGTGAAGTCATGCTGTTTTACTTGTTACTAAAAAATCCAATCAATTTAGTCATCAAAAATGTGAACAGTTGTGCCATTTGTCATCATCCTGGCAACACACATTCCTCTCCCTCATTAACACACTGATTGGTTTTATGGATTGGATTGTTAATTTAAAAATGTCTCTGTATCATGTAATGGAACACGACCAGCCAAAATCTGTGCTGAATCATATTTTATAAAAGTTCTGATACTTCTTTGTAACTCCTTTTTAGATTCTCTGGTGGTTATTTAAGCAGCTGCAGGCGCACAATCTACACTTCATATTGAGGAGTCAGTTTGCTGCAAAGGCCAAAAAGTAAATTTAGATGTAAAAAACTATTGAGTGATATACCAGTGAGACTGTCAAGTAAAAACAGCCTCATGGATCCTTGTCTGAAACTCCCCAGCAAACTTAATCTAAATCTGACTGTTTCACAACCATAACTAGTCTGCATTTAGAAGTAAGAAGACTGAACTGATCCCAAAGATACTGAACCCTAAATTTCCCCCTGAAAGGTGTGTGAATGTGTGTTATCATTGGTGGATCTAGGATTTTTCTAATTCAGGGGCCATAAAGGGGCTGCAAGTTACACTGAGGGGCCAATCACATGTCCAACATCCATACACAGTTCCTGCTTCATTAAGGTGGGCATTTAAGTCATTCCTTGTTTAATGTTAGCTCGATAGCATTGAGCAAAAACAAAGGGAAAAAAAATAATAATACAGAATCGCTGTAAGAATGTATGTGTAAATGGGTGGATGTGACTTGTACTGAAAAGTGCTTTGAGTAGTCCATTTGACTGGAAAAGTGCTATTGACCATTTAACTGCATGTTTATTACTGTTACCATGATGATAGAGCTCCAGTACGCTTGCTGGTGGTATGTTCCTATGGCTGAAGTAATTGTAACCATGACAATAGGTTTGAGGACAAATTTCCAGACAAGCCATCAGAAAGCTTATAATAACAAGACTCATCATGTGGTCACAATAAAATCAACAGCATCATTAGTTTGTTGGGAAGTAACAAAAGAAGAGCTGGTTAGTCATCGTTTGCTGGAACAAAGATTCAAACATCATTAACTGAAAGTCCAAACTGGAGGAGGTCCCACCCAGAGTTTGACAGGGTATTTGTGATACGATTAGGACTCAACAGCAGAAAATGAAAAGAAAAATCAGGTCATTGTCATGTAATGATATAAAAATATTAAAGGTACAGTGTGTAGAATTGTGTGATATCTAGTGTTGAAGTTACATGTTGCAGCTGAACACCCCTCAACTCACCCTCTGCTTCCAAACATGGAAAAGAACCTGTGGTAGCTTCAGTTGTCATAAAAACTCAAAAGGTGTTTAGTTTGTCCAGCCTGTAGAGAGGGTCCCCTCGATGTAAATGTAAAGTATTTAAATATTAAGGGCCTTTTCTGGGGTAAAGAAAACTACAATTCACACAATTTAGACAAAATGAACTAGTGAAAACATCATGAGGATTATTCTACATTAAATTTCTGCCAATAGATCCCTTTCACCTAAATCTTACACACTGGACCTTTAAGTAAACTCTAAACCAAATGATAGTCTTGACCCAACTTTTTGAAGCGTGGAGCCCGAGTCACAATGACCTCAGCGTGTAAAAATCTCCTAATTCTGAATCCAACAAAACAAGAACACACACACTCACTTTTACAATGAGTCAGGGCAGACGTATAAACAAACTCTCTGATTCAGCACACGTGTGCAGAGTTTATATTTTGTCCCAGATATGAGTAGTATTTCTTCATATCGTGTGTGTGTGCTTCTGCCAAATCCAATTGGAGGCAGCCATATGTGTGTACGTGTGACGTGAGGTTATGGTGAGCTCATCATCAGGGGCAATTTTCTCTGTCCACGGCCGCGGTAAAGAGCTGCAGAGGAAGGTCAGACCAGTCCAGTCAATGTGACAAGACTGCGGGCAAAGAAAAACCACAGAGATGTCCTTGGTTTATGTTTGCACAGGTTTCTCTGATGTCAGGTACAAGTATTTGAAGCCATGAGAATCTGCACCTCCTGCAGAACATGTCCCACCATTAAACAAACTGACATGTGATTTTAATTTGCACAGACATGGAGAGCCCGTGTGTTTTTTTTGTATTCAGGCTCATTAAACAGCAACATTTTCACATAACAGTTGCACTCCGCTTTTACTAGGCTTCAAGCTGACAAGAAAGTAAGCTGCTATTTAAAAGCATAGTTAAACAAGCACCAGGTTTACTGCAAAATGGAGTTATATTGCAAGACGTGTCCACAAAATAACTAACCAGGTCTTCCACTGATTCTCCCTCAGCTCCAGAGGTTCTCGCTCAGAAGCCGTACAGTAAGGCAGTGGACTGCTGGTCCATCGGAGTGATCGCCTACATCCTGTGAGTACCAACTCGTCTTTTAGACAAGAAGTGGTTTCATCCAAGCACTCTGACCGCCATCTCTTCAATGTCAGTTCGACACAGATTCAATTCAATTCAGTTTTATTTGTATAGCACCAAATTACAACAGACATTATCTCAAGGCCCTTTACATAGTAAGGTCGAGACCTGAGCCCAACAGTTCCCACAATGAGTAAACGCTAAATGACTGTGGAGAAAACTTCTAGAGCCAGACTTGATGACCGTTAGGGGTGAAAGAAGAAAAATGGGGAAGAGAGGAGAGGTGGGTGGAATAGAGGGGAGAGAAGAGAGAGAGAGAGAGAAGAAGACCAGAAACAGTTGTGTAACTGTCACATTTAAGCTCTCTCACAATGGTTGTTATAATGAAAATAATAACAGTGATACTTAAAGATGTCACAGTGTTATAGCAGCACCGTCGTAGTAGTAATGATAACAATAATGCTGATAATAAGAGTATTAGTTGAATGTGCACCAGAAGGAACCACATTAACAAAATCTCAGTTGCTCGAGTTTGGAAATCTGAATTTTGGATAGATATTTAATCACAGTATATTATTAACAGGAAAGTGCAGAGTCCGGTTATCATCCTCTGTGATTTTCAGTCAACACCTTTGACATTGCATATTTTGGAATACTACAATGTCTATTTGCTGTCTGTGATGTTCCCAGCATAGATTCAGTGCGTATGTGGAATGTGTACGATGTGCATGTTTGTTCTGTTGCCCCCGTGTGTGTGGCTGTGTGTGTGTGTAGAGCATGACCTCTAAGTGTGAACAATGCTGCTGCCACTTGAAACCACTGCTTTAATTATTTTAAGGTTTGCATGTGCGTGCGTGTGTGTGTGTCTGCATCTGTGAGTCCATTTGTATGTGTGTGTGGGTTCCACCTGACATACACATTACTATTTCAAGTGTGAGGTCAGGCCAGGGGCCACAGCAGCAGGTTAATGGGCTTCAGAGCATGGGATGTGGCAGGGAGGAAGTCACGCTCGACCTTAACAAATGTTTCAGTGTGCAACTTGTCTGTGATTTGTCTCTATAGTTAAAAAACAAATGTCTCTCGCTTTATCTCTCCCTCACTATGTCAGCCATATAGAGTATTTTTGTGTGTTTGTGTGACACTTTTGCATAGAATGAGGTTTGGGTGCAGGAGACAGGTCGGTGGAGACAGTGACTTTCAGTGTGTGTGTGTGTGTGTG